GACCATTCCCTGGAGAAGGATGTCATGCTTGGTAGGGTGGAGGGTCGACGAAAGAGGGGGAGGCCTTCAACGAGATGGATTGATACGGTGGCTGCGATAATGGGATCAAGTATAGCAGGGATTGTGGGGCTGGCGCCGGATCAGGCAGTGTTTCGTTCTGCTGTGCATGGGGTCGCTATGAGTCGGAAATGACTCGACGGCACTTAACAACAACAACAACAAGAAGTCATGCGCCTTATAATGTCTGTTCAGGCGACGTCTGACTGCACATGTGTCCATGATCCCATAAGGTTATAATAGGTTCAGAAATCCAGTTGGAGAATGGGAAGTAGCAAACGTAACAGCTCCATAGCAGATATACATGTAATTCATGTCTCTTGTATCAAAAGCGATTGGGTTGTACTGCCAGGCATGTAATGGTACAGTACACAGATAATCCGTCATACGTATGTTGGATGGTCACAATAAATGCCTGTGTTACTGGCTTGTGTATGTACTGTACTTTCATCCAAAACGTTTCCCATATAACTTTGTATGTTTTGACTCACAGGCAGCACATCCAGTCTTGTGAATCACATGTCTCTTGAGTATTGTAGCGTTATGTTCAGTTTTCTTTCAAATTGTAGAGGGCATCATAGCTCCCAAACCCAGCAAAGCAAGTCCTAGTGATAACAGCAGTAAGAGGCAAAGGAGACGTATCGATTGGAAGTGAAATGAAAGTTTATTAGACTGTAGGAAGGTGGAAAGTCAGTGGATGCTATTGCTCACAATTTAGGCAGGTCACATTCGATATTCATGATGATCCTGAGAAACGAAGAATCCTCCAGGCTGGTAAAGGATTGGCTCCTCTAAAAGCTACAAAAATGTGCAAGAGTGTATCAGATACGTAGAAAGTGAGGACCAGACACAAGCACATCCCTGTCAGTGCATTGTAAGTCACTGCTGAGGCACTGAGCTTGTTCAAAACGAGTGAAGGAAGAGCAGCACCAGGCTACTATATGGTGTTCCCACAACATCCAAATCATATAACATCCTTTATCGTGGATGTTAAACGACGCATGGCTGTATTTTGTTGTGCTTTTAGTTTTAAGGTTCAAAGTATTGTTGTTGTTTTCCTGGAATGACAAATTAACACACACAATGAAAAGGAATCTGGGTTTATAAAAACAGGACATGAAATGACTTCATGCTCTCATTCCCAGAGGAAGCATGGTGAACATTCTATGCCTGGCCTTTCAGGCTTATGACGCCGGGCACAGCCTGCAGGTCCCCGAGGACCAGACGTGGTCCCTTCATGGTGACCAGCCTCCTCTGTGCCCTTACCCCTCACTCACCCAGGCCCTTCAGTCCTCAGATCTGCCCCCTAGGATTTATGGGGCGTGTTCGTGCAAGTCCCTCTGCACACTTACTTATTTTTGTTTATTTTTGAGTAAGAGTCATGCAGTTCCAACATTCAAGAGATGCATAGTAAACTGAAAATTCTCCTCTCCCCATTCTGGAGGTGACTGTAGTTATCATGGTTATTTTGTGTGTTTGTGAGCAATTGGTGCCTTTCCCCTCCTCCCTTTTATATATAAATGACATCATACTGTATACACTCCCCTTCATCTTTTTTCCACCTGAAACATTGTGGAGATTGGTCTTTAGCATATGTAAAGAGTTGCTTAGCTTTTTTCTGGCTGTATAGTATTCCATTGTCCAGAGCACTGAGGATCACCACGGCTTAGCTAAACAGTTTCCTCTGATGGGCATTTGTGTTGTTTCCAACCTTTTGCTAATGCACATAACACTGCAGCAGGCAACCTTGCATGGATGTGGTTTCATATGTGTTTGAGCACATGGAGGGTACATTCCCAGAGGTAGAATTGCTAGGTCAAAAGGAACAGGCATTTCTGACATGGATATTAGCAATATTCTCGAACAGAGTCGCCTTCCATGGGATCTGTATCCATTTATTCTCCTACCAGTGATGCTTGAGAGTTAAGACAAACATGCCTAACTGTCTGCCCTGCGTGTGGTTCAGCTCTAGGGTTTTCCCTCCCTCCCACCCCCAGCCCCTAGGGGCAGTGTTGTCTTAGCAGACACTGATGTAGTCACCACCGTGCCTTAGGGTGGCCAGGTCTGGGTGAGGAGTGACAGATACTGTAGACTTCAGGTTCTAGCCTCCTCTTCAGAAAGCTGGCAACCCAGTGCCCCCTGCCCCTCACAGGCCTGACGTGGATCTGCCTCGGCCCTGCCCAGCTCTAGCCTGCTTTGCGTTGGGTGAGAAACCCCTTGTTCTCCAGCAGAGTCACCTCCCAGAGCCTCTGGGTTCTCCACGCCTCGGCCTAGCAGGGTCCTCATTGGGGGCAGCCCCTGGGTACCCAGATTTTGCCTCAGTTTCTGTGGTAGTTTGGTTTGGGTGTCTGCTTGGCTGGGCTGTGATCTTTGAGTGGCTTGGCAGCTGGATGTAGTTATTCCCCAGGATGGAAGTGGTCCAATGTAATCAACCTGCCATCAGGTTGCTGCCTGATCACCCCGAGGAAATGGTTCCATATCACAGCTCAGCGTTGGTCTCGGCTGCTGGCAGATTGGGCGCTCAGCAGTAGTTACAACCAAGTCAGCCTTGGTGGATGGAAGTCCATGTTGCTGAGTCCATGCATACCCTCCATCCCTGCCACCGTGGCCACTTTGTTCATGAGCCCAATGGGCAATGACAGGAGTGGCTGGGCAAAGAGGGTGACTGGTTTCCACAGAGCGTGTCATTGCATCTACTTGATTGTTAAAGTCTCCTCTGCTGAGGTCACTTTTCAGCGAACATTCACATGAGAGACAGGTATCTTCACTTCTGTGGTCCATTCAGAGAGATCTGTCCACAGGCCTCTTTCCCACACCCCTTGGTCATCACCTTTTCAGTCAGGGGAGCCCAATGGGGAGTAACTACATCCAGCTGCCAAGCCACTCAGAAGCACGGCCTAGCCAAGTCCACACACAGCCTTACCTACTGCAATCTCCCTTCCTGAGGGGCCTGTGCGAGGCATGGTGGAGATGGGAGCAGGGCCTTGGCCAGCGGCATCCCTTTGTCTTGGTCACTTGACCCTTTGAGGGGCCCAGTGGCTTTTCTGCAGGAGCACAGTGGGAGTGGGAGGGGTTTGGAGATTGACTGGAGCCTGGCCCCCCATAGCTGTGGGAGCTGAGGGGGAGAAGGGGCTGCTCAGTCCATCTGAGGACATCTGGGGGGTCCCTCAGAGCACAGTCTCCCTGTTAGAGTCACTTCTTGCTGATGCCTTTTATGGGGACCTAGAATTTGGGACAGCCACTGATCTGTCCAGGCAGTGCACTGAAGCTGTTGCCCTCTTTCCACAGAGCCTGACGGGTCACACGTCACCAGTGGAGAGCGTCCGCCTCAACACCCCTGAGGAGCTCATAGTGGCCGGCTCCCAGTCGGGCTCCATCCGCGTCTGGGATCTGGAAGCTGCCAAAAGTAGGCCTCCTTGCCTGCCTTCCCTCCCACCCTTGTTTTCAGCCTCTGATGTTGCGTTTCTTCCTCTGAGAAGTCTTTCTGACTAGGCTGAGGGCGTCCTTCCCGGAGCACTGACCAGATGATACGGTGACCATCCCTCTCCTGACCACAGCCCCACTCCACCTGTTAGGCTGGCAGTGATGTTCACTGCTGCCTTTTGGGGGTCTAGCATCATGGAAGCTTCTGGGAAATGTTTGAATGAGTAACTGGGTGGGTGGGTGGGTGGATGAGTGAGTAGATGGATAGACGCACAAATGAGTAGAAGAGGGATGAGCAGATGGGTGTGTATGTGGCTTCAGAACTTGAGAGAAAATCAAATGCTACCAGGGGCCATGCAGGACATGTCGGTGGGTGAGGTGGCGGTATGGGGTCTCTAACTGAGGCGTGTGTGTTCTGACACAGGGTGGCCCCCCCACAGCTCTGGCTGGCTTGCCTGCAGGGATGTGGGCCTGCAGTAGCCAGAATTTCTGCTTGTTCTTTGTTTGTTTCAATTCCATTGTCATCTCTAAAGGAGTTATACATAGTTTGAAAAGTCAGAGACTGGTGTTTACAAATGGCAAACAGTAAGCCCCTGCCTCCCTGCCCATTCTCCAGCAGCCTCCGTTCTCTGTCCTTTTAGCTGCTGGGTTTGCTGGTCGCCTCCACTTTTCTAAACAACTTGGATAGACTACAGCTTCTTTCTTTTTTTTAAAAAACATTTTATTCATTATATACTGGCGTCCTACCCTGGAAGGTGAGAATTTAACGTTTTTAAAACTACTACACCCAACTCCCTCACACACATCTCTCCTCTCGTTTTCCAAATTTAAATCACCATTTAAATATTCTGTATTTATATTATATGAACCATATAAATATTACTCACAGTGGATTACAGTTCTTTTCTTCTGATAACATTGTTTCCCTGGAGTTAATCATCGTCCCATCTCTTTTCATCTGTGTTTTTTACGTCCTCATTACTGACTCAGCCCCGGATTCTCTGCCAGAAGGTCAACTGCCACTTGTTTCCCTCAAAGCCATCCTGTGATCGAGGTCTCTTCTTGGCGCCTCTGTCCCCTACTCCAAGTGGACAGGGACACCAGATCTGCAGTCCCCTGTCCTGGGGCCTCCGTGTCTCCTCATCGGGGACTTTTCTCCACCTCTGGTGCATCAGGTCCCGCATCCTTGTCTTTCTTGCTTGAGTCCTTCTTTTTGATGGGGCACATTCTTTCACAGCTTTCTGAGAAAGGTGCCGACAGACAGTTTTGGAGACCTTCCATGGCTGAAGCTGACTTTGTTCCACTCCCGTCTTGTCTTTACTTTTATGCTTTGAGTGTAGAGTTTGGATGGACGTACAGCTGTCGTTGAGTCAACTCTGACTTGTGGTGACCTTATGTACAACAGAGTGAAATGGAGCCCAGTCCTGCTCACTGCCGTTATCGCTGGCATATCCCAGTCCATGGTTGTGGTCTCCCTTACCCTCACTAGCCCTCTATTCCATCAAGCATGATGTCCTATTCCAACAGTTAGTCCATCCCGTTGATGTGTCCAAAGCAGACAATTCAGATGATAACTCGTTTTCATTGGCTAATTTTGCAGAAGTCAATCACTGGGCCTTCTAGTCTGCCTTAGTCTGGAAGCTCTGCTGAACCCTGTCCACCATGGGTGACCCTGCTGGTATTTGAAATACCTGGGGCATAGTTTCCAGCATCAGAGCACGATGCAAGCCACCACAGTAGGACAAACTGGCAGGCGCGTGGTGGATAGACTTCCAGATCGTGAATCATTTTCCCTCAGAATTTTGAAGGTGTGGTTCCACTATCTGCTGGGATCCAGGGTTGCTGCCGGGAGGCCCAGTGTGCTTCTTACCACAGATCCTTTCTATGGGGCTGCTTCTCTCTCTCTTCCTCTGCAGGACTTTGTCCCCGGCTTTCTGATTTCACAAGACGAATATTGGCATGGGTCGATTTCCATCCTGGGCTGGGCGCCTGCTGGGGTCTTTCCACCTGGCAACTCCTACCCTCAGGTCTGGGCCAGTGGAGGGGCCCCCTTCTCTGACAGGAGGCTCCCTCAGCCTCGGCCACGTGTTGCCACGTGGGATGTGGGCACATGTTGCCAGCTCTACACATTTTTCATGAGAAACTGGAATTCTGGATATTTGTGTAGAATCCACCCATTTTTAAATGTTGACAACATTTTTCAAAAATACACCATGCCAGGCCTACACCACGAGGCCCAAATGAAACCTGTTTGCTCAGTGTTTCCTGGCGGCCTCTGGTCTGGACCTTCTAGCACCAGGCAGGAGGCCACCCACTGCCTGAAACCGAGGAGAGGAAATGGTAGCGTGGCTTTTGTCAAGATTGCTTTTTTCAGAAAAAGGCCCTTCTCATCCGCTAAGACCTGTAGATTCTTCCAGGCCCTGCTTCAACACGTCCTCACCCTGCGTTGCAGCTTGAGGGCTGTCCAGCTGTGTAGGCCCCGCTTGGGGATGGGGGCAGTCTGCTCACAGAGCCAGTCCATAAGGAGGACCTCATGGGTGATGCTTGTTGTGGTCATCTCTTCAGAAGGAGCCCTGGGGCCTCCTTGAGAACAAGCAGGGGCTGTAGGCTTAGGGGCTCAGCAGCTGATCCCGCTCTTGGCGCACACAGGACCAGAGCATGCTGTGTTTGGGCGTCGCTGGACTCTGGCCAGGGAGGAGCAGGCCGAGGTTGGCTGGGGCCCCGACTAAGAAGGCAGGAAGGTTCAGGCCGAAGGCGGTCAGCTTCCTGGGCATCCTCTGCCTGGCCCTGACCCCCGTGGATGCCACCAGTCATTCACTGAACAGGGGGGACAAAGAGAGGCCAGGAGTCCCTTGTTCCTGCCCCAGGCTTTCCCAGCCCAGCGGTTTCTCTCATAAAGGAGAGGAGGAGTTCTTGATGTGGCTGAGGAGTGCAAACTGGAGCCCTGGAAGCCTGGGCCCTGGGCTCCCCCAGCCGGCCTGGCTGCTGCACAGAGCTTGTTGCAAGCGTGCATCCCAGATGCGCCCCCTCACCTGACAGCCTGATGCAGTCTGGGATGCCCAGAATCTTGTTTTCCATAAGCTGCTGGGTGACTCTGACACAGAGCCAGGTTGGCAGCCCCCCCCTTGTTTGACAGACAGGCAGGTGGCGGCCCAGGGAGGGCCCAGAGCTCAGGAAAGACACATGGCCAGATGGTGGCGGAGCCTAGTGCGTGAACCCTGGTGTCGGGGCCCCCATTCCAGTGCTCTTCATCCTGTCGGTTGCTGTCTCCAAGTTTGGGGGTTTCCCAGATGGAGGAGAAACCTGTCCTCAGCTGCCTCGGCAGGTTGAGCTAAGACCTCAGGCCCACCTTCACCCCACCCACCACAGTGTGGGCCGAAGTGACAGAGTGGTAAACTAAGGCCCCAGGACAGGAGGGTCCTGTGTGTCACATCATTTGTCCCGAGGACTAGTGGAGGCTGAGCAGCTCCTTGGCTAGAGGGTCTGGGGGTTCCCTCGAGGGCCAGACAGACCCCAGGAGCCCCTCTACTCTGGGCTGCAGGAGCCTGGGACCAAGTCTGGGCACCAGAAGGCCTCCTAAGCGCCTTTCTGGGACAGAGCAGCAAGGGCAGAAGTCACGGCAGAAGAATGCAGCCCTGCCTGCTTCCCCAGCGCTGCCAGAGGGCGAGGGCGGGTTAGCCAGGGGGATCCCACAGGAAGGCTCCTGCGCGGCCAGAAGCTGGCGGCCCACGCGGGGCGAACCATGCATCTTCTCGGGATGGGGGAGGATTTTGAAAGCCTCGCTGTGGTGTGCAGAACGAGTGGCCGGCAGGTGGGCATGGAGTGGAGCCCCTCCGGGCCCTGCACCAGCACCTCCACCGTGTTCCCGAGGCCTCGCTGGCCGGGCACGTATGGCTGAGCCCCCAGTGGCACGACAGGAGCTGAGCAGGACAGCTGCTCAGCTGAATTAGATGGTCACTCGACAGACGGGGCAGGTACCTTGTGAGATCACACCAAGGATGCCGGGACGGCTTGGTCCCAGCTCTGGCCCCCAGCCTGGCTCTCTGCTGCCGAGAGCCTTGAATCAGATGGTTGGAGGCAGTGGGTGGAACACAGAGGAGCGGACTTTGTCCTCAAGGCAGTTAATAACTTTAGCCACCAACTTTGTTCTTGTTGTTACGTGCCGTCGAGTTGGCCCCGACTCATAGCGACCCCTTCTTGGGTTTCCGAGGCAGTATCACTACGGAAGTAGATTGCCCCATCTTCCTTCCGAGGAGTAGCTGGTGAGTTTGAACGGCCAGCCTTCTGGTTACCAGTCAAGTGCTTGGCTCCTGCTTTTACTGCACACCTGGCCCTATAAAGGGTGCTGCTTCGGAGTCAGCCTGCCTGTCTGACTTGTGTCCCTTTGACCTTAGCAGCCTGTTAACCCTGGGAGCCTGGACCGCAGCCCACCTGCTGGGCTGCATATGACTCTGAACTAGTGAGCAGAAAGCACTCAGCCCTCATCTTGGCACTCATGACATAGGTGGCAGGCAGCTTGGGGATGAGGCAGGGTACCCCGGTAGCCATGGGTAGTGGGGCCAAAAGAGGGAACCAGGACTTATGCTCAGAGGCCTGAGGAGGGGGAAGGAGGTCCACCTTGGGAGAGGCGAGAGGGGATGATGGATGTGGCATTTTTGTGGGAAAAAATAAGGACGGGGATGCTTAAAACACGCATCTATTAATAAGAACGGGGATGCTTAAAACACACATCTATTAATAAGAACGGGGATGCTTAAAACAGGCATCTGTTAAGCGCTTACTGTGTGGCAGGTCCTTGCTAAGCACTTTATATCCATTTTCTTACTTCATTCTGACGGTGACCCAGTACATGTCTCAGAGAGGGTGAGTGATTACCCAGGGTCACACAGCAAGTGAGGAGCAGAGCCAGGCCCTATCCTGGTTCTGCCTGACTCCAGAGCCCACAGCTTGACCTTGAAGGGTAGAGATCAGTCTTTGCTTGAGAAATGGCTTACTTAAATCCCATCTCTGCAGTCCAGAAGCATTAACATCTGGAGCCCACTTGAATACCTCCTCCAGTAGGGAGCCCAGTACCTCACAAAGAGCCCCTTGGTTCAAACCTCAGGATAGCTGGACTCTTCACCCTTGGCCCTGGAACCCATGGGTGATGGTTTTCATTCAGACAGCAGAATTATAAGTCTCTTAAAAAGCAAGACGTGAGACCAGAGAGGAGACACATTAGAGGAGTACCAGAAAATGCCCTAGACAGGAGTGCAGTTTGTGTCCTGGCCTGGCCACAGAGCTGCCTGCAATGCCCTAGAGGGTAGGAGACATGGTCTCCTGGGCCAGCAGTAGGTGACCACCACTCTGGCCTAAGTCATTTCCTCCTCATGTCTTCTCTGTTCACATCACATCAAACTTGTCTTCACTGCCCCCCTCATAGAGCAGAGGGTCTGTGTGAACACCAGGGCCACCGAGACACACTTGCCCTCCTTGGAGCCTTTGCCCACCATCCCCTCTGCCTAACCCAGCCTCCCCTCTTCCTACCCCCACGGACAGCCTCCTCAAATGCTCCTTCCTCCATAAAGCCCTCTTGGATTTCTCTCCCAACCAAGCAGCAGTTCCACAGTTGAACCTCCCTGTGTCTCTGTCCTTGTACTAAGGCCCAGCAGACTGGAGCCTCATGTCTGTGGGGCTGGAACAGAGCACAGCAGCTCCCCGGCTCTGCTGAGTCCAGCCCTGCTCACACACCGGGACGAGCCCAGAGGTGCCGGCTGGGGGAGTGGGGGGTGTTTCCTGGGGCCCTGGGTAACTCCAGAAATGGCTGGCATTTCTTGGGAGGAAAATTAGTTGTTAGGGTGCTAGGACTCTGGTTGATTTTTTTTTTCTCCCAATTTTTCAACCTGTTACTCTGTTTTTCTGTGCGTTTAATAATGAAACACCCACACAAGGTAACGAAACAGCCCCTCCATCTGCTGGCATCTTGTTGGCCTCTTAACACCACTGTCTCTGCTTGCTTCCTGGGTAGTTCTTCGCACCCTCATGGGACACAAAGCCAACATCTGCAGCCTGGACTTCCACCCATATGGCGAGTTTGTAGCGTCTGGTTCCCAGGACACAAACATCAAGGTGAGGCGTCACGCTGTCCCTTTGTCCTCCTTGGGCTGGAGCGGGACGGGGGCTGTGTGTCCTGCCTGAGGAGCTGGGTTCTTGGCTGTCTCGGAGGATCTTCCCTCTCTGAGCCAGTGTCCACACTCTGGAGACGGAGGACGTGGAGAGCAGCACCCCACTCTCGTGAGCGGTTTCAGACCTCTGCCATTTTCAGGGGGCCTGGCCTGGAGGTTTGCAGAGCCCTGCTCTGCTCCCGCCCCAGCTTGACTCTGCCGCTCTGCTTCTCTCCGCAGCTCTGGGACATCAGGAGGAAAGGCTGTGTGTTCCGATACAGGGTGAGGACCGTGCCCTCTGTGGGTAGTTGCATAAGCACCGGGCAGGCCTTCAGCATTGGTTGGGTGGTGCCACCCCCTCGACAGGGGACGGGGCTGCTGTCCAACACGGGTGAGAACATGCAAAATGAGAGGCCAGAGGAGATCGTGAATCTGGAGGGACGTGGGAGGGTCATGCGTGGTTGACCTTGACCTTATCTGAATCACCAAATTGCGCTGCACACCCTGGTCCTGCAGGCGGGTAACAGGTGCCGTGAGGTGAAGGAGGTTCCTGTTCACGTGAGTTACGAGGCACTGGATTTAACCCACCTATGTGCAGGAATCGTCTGACCTTTTGACGATGAGAGAGTGTGTTTAACTCTCCACATGGGGTCATCAGAGTTACCATTTTCCAAACTTGCATGACCATGCAGCCTTGATTGGGAGTGCCCTGCAGGCCTGGAGTCCATGGCCACACGTGGAGAAGTGTCCCCTCACATCTCCTGGGAAGGCACTGTATGTCAGAGGGGTTGGGCTCTGGCCCTAGGGTGAGCTCAGGGCTCTATCCTCTCCACAGGGACACAGCCAGGCTGTGCGGTGTCTCCGGTTCAGCCCCGATGGGAAGTGGTTGGCATCAGCTGCCGACGACCACACAGTGAAGGTAGCTCCTGGGGTTGGGGACTGGGTCTGGGGATCACACCTAGGCAGAGTCCTCACCCCTCTCCTGACTGGTTTTGTACGTGGAGCGGAAGGTAGCTTATGGGCAGAGAACTCAGTTGGAGCAGAGGGAGAGTGAGTAGCCTGGTTCTGACCCGCACCCTGTCCTGCCCCAGCTCTGGGACCTGACTGCCGGTAAGATGATGTCCGAGTTCCCTGGCCACACGGGGCCTGTCAATGTGGTAGAGTTTCACCCCAACGAGTACTTGCTGGCATCTGGCAGCTCTGACAGGTAGGAAGAAGGCCCTCTGCCCGTGACTGCTCTCCCTGCCCCCCCTCTGCCCGTGACTGCTCTCCCTGCCCCCCCCTGCCCTGTGACTGCTCTCCCTGCCCCCCCTCTGCCCCGTGTGTGTGCACCTCTGTTGACCGTCTGTCTCTGTGTCCCAGGGTGTTTTATACCTGATGATTCTCCCCTGGGTCCTGGTCCCATCTCTCCCCGGCTCTGGTTCCCCAGCCTGTGTCCTCAGCCAGGCCTCCACAGGCAGTGTTGGGATCTCAGGCCCCTAGTGGGGACCCACTGTGGGGACCTGAAGCTGTGGGGCCACGGTCACCTGCCCACTGGCCGAGCTGCACGGGAGCAGCAGTGCTCTCGCCTCCAGGTCCCAGAGTACTGCCAGCCCTCAGCATCCTTAGCTGGCAGAGAGGGACGTGGGCAGTGGGCCAGGACTGTGTGGCCGCCCTGGTACGGGCAGGGGCTCCGTGTCCAGGGCCCCATGCTGTCTCCTGCCTGTGTCCCTGGCCCCAGGCCCTGGGGGAGGGGCTGGGAAGAGTTGGCTTCCATAGACCCACGGCCTGTGCAGAGGCCAGAATGGACCCTGGCTTCCTGGCACCGTGTGGCTGCCTTCACAGGACAATCCGCTTCTGGGATCTGGAGAAATTCCAGGTGGTGAGCTGCATTGAAGGGGAGCCGGGGCCTGTCAGGTATGGAGGTGGCAGGAGGGGGGTAGGTGGGCTTTCCCCACCACGCTTCTGTTCCCTCCTGTCCTGGTTCTTCTCGGGCACCTGCGTTTTAGGGCTGGGGCTGTGGACCCATTGCAGCTTCTCGCCCGGCAGAAGCGTCCTCTTCAACCCTGATGGCTGCTGCCTGTACAGTGGCTGCCAGGACTCTCTGCGCATCTACGGCTGGGAGCCCGAGCGCTGCTTTGATGTGGTCCTGGTCAACTGGGGCAAGGTGGCTGACCTGGCCATCTGCAACGAGCAGCTGGTGAGAGAGCCTGAACCCCTGCCCCCCCAGGCACCACCCGGCCTCCGCCTCTGCCCCCACCAGGAGGGCTGCGCAGCCACTGGGACCCTGCCCTGCTGGGATCTTGCCCGTCCAGCCCCAGCCCCAGCTCTGCTGCTTCCTGCAGATAGGCGTGGCCTTCTCCCAGAGCAACGTCTCTTCTTATGTGGTGGACCTGACACGGGTCACCAGGACAGGCACGGTGGCCCAGGACCCCGTGCAGGACAGCCGGCCCCTGGCGCAGCAGCCTTCCAACCCCAGCGCCCCACTTCGGCGCATCTATGAGCGGCCCAGCACCACCTGCAGCAAGCCTCAGAGGTGGGGGCACAGAGGGCACGTGGGAGGCGGGCCCCTCCCAGGGAAGGCTGCAGGGGTCCCAGCCCTGGGCTCACCAGGGCCCCACTTCCTTCGGGCTGGGCGTGCCCCCAGGGTGAAGCAGAACTCGGAGAGCGAGCGCCGCAGCCCCAGCAGCGAGGACGAGAGGGAGGAGCGGGAGTCCCGGGCTGAGATTCAGAACGCCGAGGACTACAACGAGATCTTCCAGCCCAAGAACAGCATCAGTGAGGCCCGGCCTGCCCCGCAGGGCTCTTGCTCGGCCTTCTGACCCCCGGCGGCCCCTGTGTGGAGTTAGGATCCTTTCCAGGGATGACAGTGATGTAGCTTTCTTTGCATCCCTTCCTTGCTAACCCACAGCTTGGCCTAGGGCTCTCTGTCGTCACTATGCCCCCAAGGGACTGAGGGTGGGAACCTGGGCACTCCCCAGCAAAGCCTGGTGCTCGGAGCAGAGGCAGGGCCCACAGAGCCATGTGGCTGGGAAGGAGCAGGGCTGAGGGTCCCGGGAGCTGCTGGGAACAAGTCACAGCTGTGTGCCTAGAAACCACTTTCTATCACCCACATCATGACAGGACCCTCTGCCCCAGGCCACCTGGCAGTGAAGGCTCCCAGAAAGGAGGGCCCCAGGCTGGCCAAGGTGAGCCCTCAGCCCATTTGCCTCTCTGCAGGTCGGACACCGCCCCGCAGAAGTGAGCCCTTCTCTGCACCCCCAGAAGATGGTGAGTCACAAGGCAGAACCTCCTCTGTCCTGTTCCTTCCCCTCATCCCCCTCCTTGTGAGCAGTGTAAGAGCTCCAGTCCCCAAACAACCTGACAAGCTACCTCCTCCTGACCTGTCCCCAGACTTCCCGTTTAAGGTCACAGCCTCTAGCCTCTCTCTCACTGCACCTAAAAGCACCTGCTGTGTGCTGGGCCCTGATGACTAAGAACAGGCAGACAGGGTGCGCCCCTCAGGCTCTCACACCCTAATAAGGGGAGCAAATGTCAGACAGACCACCTCACAGATCACACCACACATGGGGTACATGCCATGGAGGGGAGAATGGCATGTGGGGGGAGGGGAGAAGTTGGGAGGGGCTGAGCTGGAGGAGGGTCTTTGGGAGCCTCTGAGATGGCAGGTGAAGAGAGAGTAGGGCTTCCAGTGGTGAAGGGAGCTGAGAGGAGGCATGGAGCAGGAGCTGGGGGTTGGGTTTCACCCTGAGGGCAATGGGATGCTGGAGGATTTCAGACCCGAGAATGCAGGACCTGCTCTGTGACTGGGGAAGGGGCCAGGGTGTAGACCCACAGAGTAGCCCTCCCTCATCCAGCTTTCCCCTCAAGGGGCCGTCTTCTCATTCCCCTTCTGTGTCTGGATTTCTCTCTCTCTCTGTGTGTGTGTGTGTGTGTGTGTGATTTGGGTGAGAGTTAACAGCAAATTTCATTTTCCATACAGCAGTTCATACACATTCTGTCTCAGGACTTTGACTGCAGTTGCCCTCAATGTAACAGCTCCTCTTCCACTTCCTCCCCGTGGTTCTCTCTTCCCTGTGCCATTCCCTCCCATGCACTTCTGCCCTCTGAGCTGCCTCCCTGTGCATGCACTGCCCTCCTGTTCACCCACAGTTGATGGCTCTAAGGAGTGTATCTACTTGATGTAAATGTTCAGCCTATATGCCTGTCTGTTGTTTGGCTGGAAGCCACAGGAATGAGTTCAGTTCCAGACTTGAAAGTTAACCTAGGGGCCATAGTCTCAGGGGTCTCACTAGGCTCTATTAGACAGGAAACCTGGTCTTTATGATTTTGAGTTTTGTTCCACATTGTTCTCCTACTCTCTCCGGGATCTCCTGCACCGATCCCCCGCCAAGCGGTTCACCATCTAGTAGCTGGGCACCATCTAGTTCTTCTCGTCTGATTGGATCTGGGTTTCTTAGAGCCTCTTCCCTCCTCTTCCACTTCCTCCTCAACATCCATTCACTGCCGGCTTTCTCCCCTCCCACCAGGAGATGACAGAATTGCCACACCCTAGGTCCTGTCCACAAACAGTGCTAGATGCAGAACAGCAGTGGCGTGGAGTTGCTTCGAGAGGCCCAGCTGAGCCCTCAGGGCCACTTCCCTGTACTGCCAGCCTTTCTCCTCCTGGCTCCCTTCTCCCCAGTTAAAGATGCTGCCCTGAGTGCCCCCCTCAGGCCTGCCTTTTCCCGCCAGTCCCTGCTCCAGGTCTAACCCAGTCATCTTTTCCTCTGCCTCAGACACGACCACAGCAAAGGAGGCAGCAAAGCTCAGCCCTGCCATGGATGTCCAGTTCCCGATGCCAAACGTACGTCTGGGTAGAGAGGGCCAGGTGGGGGCCTGGTGGGGCTGGAGGCCTGGACGAAGTTGGGGGCTCTTGTTGGGAGCAAAGACAGGGGCCTCGGGCTGTGCCCACTGAGCTGCAGCCTCCTACAGCTCGAGGTCCCAGCCCGGCCCCCCATCACCTCCTCCACACCTGCACCCGAGGCTGAGCCTGCCATCATCCCTGCCACCCGGAATGAGCCCATTGGGCTCAAAGCCTCCGACTTCCTGCCTGTGAGTGGGGGCCAGCCCGAGTGCCGGGGTGGGGGCACGGGGCATGGCAGAGCTTTGCTGCCTGTTCTGTGCCAGCTTCTGAGTACCCACCCCTTGCAGGCTGTGAAGATCCCCCAGCAGGCAGAGCTGGTCGACGAGGATGCCATGTCCCAGATCCGCAAAGGCCACGACACCATGTGTGTGGTGCTCACCAGCCGCCATAAGAACCTGGACACAGTGCGGGCTGTGTGGACCACAAGCGACATCAAGGCAAGCACCAGCCCCACATGGGCCTCACTCCCCACCCTTCCGCTGCCAGGCTTAGGGCTGCCCAGGGGTCAGCTGCCCTCACACCCTGATGACCGTTTCTTCCATCATAATCCTCACGAGCTGACGTTTGTTGAGCACCTGTTGTGTGCCAACCCCTCTGCTCCTCACGTGAGGTGCCTTCTTAACACTCTGCAGCAGACCCTGTCATCTACCGCGCCCACACACACCCACGCGGGGGTCACACAGTATCCCCAGGCCTGTGACTGGTGCTGTTTTCCAGACATCCGTGGACTCTGCTGTGGCCATCAATGACCTGTCGGTGGTGGTGGACCTCCTCAACATCGTCAACCAGAAAGCGTAAGTGGCCGCAGTGGGTGGCTTGGGCAGTACGGGCAGGGCTGGCACTGACAGGACCCGCCTTCATCCTCTCGCCAGCTCCCTGTGGAAGCTGGACCTGTGCACCACAGTCCTGCCCCAGATCGAGAAGCTTCTGCAGAGCAAGTATGAGAGGTATGTGGGAAGCCTCGCCCACCCCCCAGCAGGGCTGCGGCAGGGCAGGAGGCGCTTCTGGGGACTACAGGCAAGACCCTAAGGGTCTGGGTACCTAGGGGAAGCGTCTTCCGCGAGGAGTCTGTGAAGCAGTGCTGTCCCCTCCGAGTTCCAGGGAGGTCAGAGCGAAACCCAGGACCCTGCTCTCCGATGCTGTGTGTGTCTGTCTGTCTCTGTCCCCTTCACCTTTGTGTACCTTGCTTCTTATCTTTCTGTCTGTGGCTCTGCGCGCCTCTGGGTCCGTGTGTCGGGACTCCGTCCACCCATCTGCCCCTGAAGCTACGTGCAGACAGGCTGCACCTCCCTGAAGCTGATCCTGCAGCGGTTTCTGCCTCTGATCACTGACATCCTGGCAGCTCCGCCCTCCGTGGGCGTGGACATCAGCCGCGAGGAGAGGTGAAGCACCAGGCAGTGTGTGTGGGGGCTCAGAGTCCCGCTCCAGATGAAAGGATACAGGCCTGGGGGCTGGTCCGCCCTGGAGCCGGCCCTGCTCCACCATCTTACAGAGGAGACTGTTGTCTCGGGCAGTGACTCGGGTGGGAGGAGTCTTAGGACAGCAGGGGACCGACCCAGCTCTGCCCCTGAGCCCTGGCGTGACCTGGGTGGGTCCTGCACTCCAGGCTTCAGCCACTGTCTGGGAAGCGGGGCTGGAGTACTTGGGACAAGAACGGGCCCAGGCCATGTGGGGGCACGGAGGCCGTGTCGCCTGTGGCCTGAGGCACTGTCCATCTGCACAGGCTGCACAAGTGCCAGCTCTGCTACAAGCAGCTCAAGAGCATCGGGGGCCTTGTCAAGAGCAAGTCTGGCCTGAGTGGCCGCCACGGCAGTGCCTTCCGCGAGCTGCACCTGCTCATGGCCAGTTTGGACTGAGGAGTCTAGTGGGTGGGGGTGTCCGGCAGCCCACGGGGCCTGGCCTCTGCTCCCACCTCTCCCTGTGCGCCCGCTGGTCTATGAGCCTCTGCCCGGCCCCACCGCTGCCCTGCAGGAGATAGTGCCGGACTCTTGAGACAAGTCTCCAGTAACAGCTGCCAGCTTTGCCCAACTCTTGCTTCTTGGGGCAGCAAGTCCTGAGATTATTGCTGTAATTTATAAGATGAAATTTTATTAAAATTTGTAACTATTCCCTGGTTTCATTGTTGGGAGGGGAATACCACAGTTCTCCTGAGAGCAGAACAGCACTGCTAGCCCTGGTCTCCTCAAGCCAGTCATTCCCTCTTCGAGGCCCCAGACGGGCTCCAGGCTGTATGGCCAGCAGGGGGCAGCGGCAGCAGAGCAACACGGGGGGGTGGGGGAGGGGCTCAGACTCATTCTTTAGGAGGGTTTGGGGAGCAGCAACCCTAGGATTTGGGGAAACAGGGTAAGAGGCCCCCACTGGGCCATCCCCATGTGTCCTAGGGCTGAGTAGGTCCCCAGGGCCCACAGCTGTGCTGCTCTACAAGATGATATAGTCTGAGCCCCAGCCTGTTTTAGCCACTCTACTCTGGCACAGTGGTGGTGTTACTGAGTTGGTACTGAGTTGGGCCCTGCTCATAGCAACCAGCAACCCCTCTTTGGGGTCACTAGAGGTCAGTATCACTACAGAAGTAGCATTGCTCAGCCTCCCCCCCCCCCCCAAGGAGGGGCTGGTGGATTTGAACCACCCCTCCTTGTGTTGCCGAGGCAGTTATCACTACTGAAGTAGCTTGCCCAACCTTCCTTCCGAGGAGGGGCTGGTGGATTTGAACCGCCAGCCTTCTGGTTAGCAGTCAAGTGCCTCAGGCAATATGCTACCAGAGCTCCTGGTGCCTGTAACAGCAAACATAGGTACCAAAAACCCAAACCTAACCCACTGCCATTCCAGTCGAGCAGTGACCCCTGCTGGGTTTCCAAGGCTGTAAATGTTGATTGAAGCAGGCTGCCTTGTCTTTGTTCCACAAAAACGGCTGGTGGGCTTTAACCTTTTATTAGCAGCCAAATGCCTTAACCACTGTGCCACCAGAGCCCCTTAACCATGACCACAAACAACAGGAAACAGGACCTGCTGATACCCTGCTCCTGGGATCTGATTGCGAGGGGAGGGGTGCACAAGACCACTCTTAAGACTCCACGTGTGTAAAAAGACCTTTTATTTTAATAAGTAAAAATGGCTAAGTTTCCAAAAGTTCTTAAATAGGAATTAAGAGAGAAAAATGTCAAGAGGCCAGCGAGCAAGGAAGAACCTGGTGTCGGGCAGGTGGGTCACATGAACCCCCGCCAGCCGGCCTCCACTGCCAGCCATGAATAGGGCCCGCCCCTCCTGAGGCAGGCCGGCCAGCTCCAGTGTACACCTGGGAACGGTATATACATGCCCTGCTAAGGGAACCCTCCGTGGAGGGTACCCGCTAACCCAGCCCAGTTCCCACGGCCCGGTTCTAGTGCCTTCCTGAAGGCCCCCCGCCCAGCCTTGCAGGCTCGGGGAGGCACCCTTCTCACACCCCTGCCCTCCCAACGAGTGCATGCCCTGGTGGCCGGGTCTGCCCTTTCAGCCCGCGCCACTGGCGCCCAGAGCCACAGTCGAGAGAGCATTTCCTTCAGAACATGTTTCTTGTCTCTGAGAGGAGACCGGGCAGAAGACGGGCCTCCACTCTTCACCTCTGCCTCCTGGGGTCCTGGTGCTGCAGCAGGAACAGTCCAGCAAAGCCCGAGACTCCGCCCTGGCCCCCGAAAACTGGGCACATCTGTCACACAGGCACCGGCCTCGACTTCCCTGCAGGAGGGGAGGGGGCTGGTCAGCACCAGGAGGGTCTGTCCTCATCCACTTGGCCATGGCCCAAGGCAGGTGCAGCTGAGAACAGGAGGGAGCCCAGCCAAAGCACACAGACAGCAGGCAGCGCTAGGACCCCGCCCTCAGGCGAAGGCCTGTAACCCAAGGCAGGTGAGCGAGAGCGGGCAGGCGGGTGGCCCTGGGCCACAGCCCACACTCACCTGGATGCTGCAGCCGCAGCCGTCAGGCTGAAATCAAAGCAACAGGCATCTTAACTGCGGGCCTGCCTCAGCCACAACCCCACAGCCCCTACTTCAAGGGGCTCGCCAGACCCCTCCCTGAGGGGAATCAATTGGGGCCTGCATCTCTGACACCAGCCCTGTGGCCAGCTTCAGTCTTCAACTGAGAAATGGGTGTGACCCCTGCCCTTTCCATCCCCCAAGGAGCTGAAGAGCAGAGCAGGGCGTGGCAGGTCAGCTTTGGGGTGGGAGGCTGGTGGGGCAGTGTACTGTGTGCCCTGACTGCTCCCCAGGGGCCGGGGAGGCTGTGGAAGAGGCTGGGAAGGAGTTTTATAAACAGAATAGAAACGCCTGTCCTGTGAAGCAGGCCCCTGAACGGCCCACCCCCCAGAGGCTCACCTGAGGGCTGCAGTTTCCTGCGGATGGAGCCAGGGCGGCTGGAGGTCCCAGAGCTGGGGGCTGAGTGGGCCCGTGCTGAGGGCTGGGGCGTCTGGCAAGCAGGCTCCCACTGTGGCAGGGAAGGCCGGGTGAGTTGGGGGCCCTGCTTCTCCCTTCTATCCCCTCCCTCCCCCACTTCCTGGCCTCCTGAAACTCAAGTTTCATCTGTGAAATGGGCATAATCTGCCTCACGGAATTCCTGCAAGGATTCAATGAGCTAATGCATGCATCAGAGTAGACCAGTCACCACTGAGCACCTCCTTGGTGCCAGGCCTCCCCCTGCAGACCAGCTGATGACCCCTGCAGGGGCCAAGACTAAACATACTACTGGGCTTGGGTTCAAGTTCTGGTTCCACACCTTTCTGGCCTCATTCCCCTCACTCTCTCTCCAAGCTCAGTTTCCACTCCCCTCCCGCCCATGAGCAGGAAGTCTCTGACCAGTGCTGGCCTGAGACAGGCCTATAACAGGGGCTGTACCTCCAGGTGTTCCTGGCTCGACCAGGACCCGAGCTCTGCCCGGCGGGACACGGGGCCCAGCTCCACAGAGCGCACCCTTTCAGCAAACTTGAGGGAATAGAGCGTCTCGCTGGTGTTCTTCTCCACGGGGGACACCTGTGCGGATGAACTAGAGCTCACTCCCCACCCAGGCTGGCCACTGCCCCCACAGAACTCCAGGGAGAGCACGGCCCCAGCTCACAGCTCACAGCTGGGGACCCTAGAGGACATCCTGGGGAATGTTCAGAGGGAGGAGGGGCTGGAGGAAAACAGGTGGCAGCCACAGGGTCAAAGGCTGGGGGGGCGGGGAACTCACGTGGTCTTCCAGGCCTATGGAGTGCATGCAGACAGGTCTGTGGCGGGGGTTTAGGACACTAGCTTAAGGGTCTCTTTCTTACACGGCCTTGTGTACCTGGTCCCAGGACAGAGGGCTGCCCTGCCCAGCCCACCTGCGGCCCTTACCTGCACCACCATGAGTGTCTTGCTGTCACCACTGAGGGAGTCCTGCAGCAGGTAGGTGAGCTTGGAATTGCGGAAAGGCACGTGGCCCTGGCGGGAGCGCAGGGCAGCAATGACGTCTCCCAGGGCCGACAGCGACTTGTTGATGTGTTGTGCCTCCCGCAGACGGCTGCCCTCCGCCCCCGACTTGCCCACACGCTCCGAGCCAGCCAGGTCCACCAGGTTCAGCTTGCCTGTGGGAGAGCACCGGGCAGGTCAAGGCTGCCCTGATGGGGTGGGGTGCTGTGGTGGTCTCGGCCCAGCCGCCCAGGCCCGCACTCACCTGTGGTGCGCAGGCCCGTGCTGCAGTCCATGCCGCGCACTGTCACAATGAGCAGGGCATGTGAGCGTGAGCTGTGCTCATTCAGGTTGGTGAATTCTGTTGTGCGGTTGGTGTGGCCGAACTCAAACACCTGGGGTGGGGGGCGTACAGGGCTTGGAACCAGACCTCTGGACTCACCCCACCCTCCTGAACACCCGAGGAAGGGCAGTGTCACCCTCGCATTTCACAGATGAGGAAACAGAAAGGCAGGTCACATGTTCAGTAAAATGGGGGAGGGACACGGCTCCTCGTGGGGGTGCTCGGAAGGACCCCCCAGCACCTCCTGGGACCTCCCAGACCTGCACCTTGTTGATGTCGTCCACGCTCTGCACCTGGAACTCCGTCAGCCCCGGCACGTAGAGCTGCCCGCTGCCGTCCGGGCACAGCCGGATCTCCAGCTTCTCCTGCGGCTCCTTCCCCAGCAGGTCCCTGCAGGGCCAGGCAGCTGGTCACTCCCCGCTCCCAGTCCCTGGCCTGCTTCAGTCCCTCTTCCGGACCTCTGCTTGCATTGCTCCTTGCCCGCAGCCTGGAATGCTCCCCCAACCCATCACACCTGCTTCAAGAAGCCTTCCTTGGCCACTCGGCTAGGGGCCTCCAGCCCTCTCCTCCAGCTCAATCAGCTGGACAGGTGGAGCCCTTACTGCTCCCCGAAAGTCCTGTGGGTGGCGCCACTCCTGCCTTCTTTCACTTATCGCCATGGAAGAGGAGGGAGCGCACAAGACTCAGCCCCCAGGTAGAGCGAGGCACTTCCAGGGGTAAAGGGGTGCCAGGTGTGGGGGTCCCAGGAGGGCTCTCAGAGCCCCTCCTCCGGCAGGCTCTCTGGTGCAAGGGAGGGGCCTGAGGCACCTGAACCACCAGGGCCAGGCCTCTGGCTGGGCCCTCACTGCTTCATCCGGATCCCTGGACAGCCTTCAAGGACACCCCACTTCCCATCCCACATCATCCCATCCCCCCACTGCCAAGAACTGCAAAGCTGCCCCTGAGGGCATGTCCCTAGAGCCCCCAGCCTCCCACCTGAGGACCTCGTTGTAAATCTCCGCCACGCTGACGGTGATGGTGTACTGCCAGTCAGACGCCTTCTCCTGCACCTCAGAGAAGAGCAGCTGCAGGGCCCGCTGGTTGATGCCTGGGTTCTCAGAGCTTCCCTGAAGGCAGAAGGAAAGGCCCACTGAGCCCGGGCCTCTCCCCGGGAAGTGGGGTGCATGGCGTGGATGCTCACGTGGCCTCTGTCACGCCCTGCCCCTCTGGCTACCCCTCCCTGAGAGCCTCCCTGCTGGAAGGTCCCACCTTCTTGACAGTCTACCCCTCCAAAAAAAAAAAAAAAACCCTCCATCAGATGAAAACAATGTCACCTCCTTGGGCCTCAGTTTTCCGACCTTTAAAACAGCACCACTATGCAGGCACTGCTAGGGGACTGACGGGCAGGCAGCAGAGGGGTGGAGTGCCTGGCACAGCCTGCATGCAGGGCTACTGAGTGCCAGATGCATACCTGGCCCTGAAACCCTCTCCATGGACAGCAGAGCCCAAGGACTGGGATAGGGCACCCACTGGGTGACACCCACCTCCATTGTGTATGTCTTGCCAGCACCCGTCTGACCATAGGCAAAGATGCAGACATTGAAGCCATCGATGCACGAAGTGATCAGGGCCTGCACCTCCTGGAACACCTGGGGAGGGGAGGTGGAATGGAGAGTGAGGGCTGCCGGGGCTGGTGGACTCAGGCCCCCACGCACTCCAAGTCCAGTCACCTCCCCCTGACCATACTCTTCTCAGCAACAGTGCAGCAGCTGCTATTGTGGTCAGCAGACTGGCTGCTGTGAAATTTGTGATTAACACGCCACTTATATTAGACATCAGTGGGCAACCTGATTGCCCAAAGATTGAAGGGAAGGGAAGACAGCATTTGCTACCCAAGGACACCTGAGGAAGGGGCTGCCCGCCCTGGAGTGCAAGAACCCTCCCCATTCTCCTGATGGCAAGAAGAGGGCAGCAAACCAACAGGGCCCCTCCTCACCTAGCACCCCTTCCAGCCTGCCTGCCACCGGTCCCAGGGGACACAGCAAGGGGAGAACCGGGCATAAGGGCAGGAGGGCACAGGCACGGTGGGCCTAGAGGGTTGGCCCTGGGCAAAGTTCAGAGAAGAGCCGACGCTGAGCCCACATGCGTGGTTCTCACATGGCTGAAGGCTCAGTACTGAAAGTGGGGTGGTGGGGAAGTCTATGGGAAGATCCGCGAGAAAAGAGGGAGGGGGTGAAGTGCCCCCACCATGAGAGGAGCCGCCCGGTTGGAGGTGCCGCCCAGTGGGAGGAGCCGTCCGGTTGGGGGAGCCGCCCAGGTGGGAGGAGCTATGCATAGTTCTCTCCTGAGACACTTTTCTAAGCATCCCACCGTCTCTCCTCTAGAGGGCAGAGGGACATTGGTTCACTCCATGCTCCGCGTGTGGCTTCTCAGTCCTGTCCCCTCCACTCTTGCACTTCTATCCTCCTCATCCCTCCCTCTCCCTGTGAGTCTGTCTTTTCCTCTCTCCACTGCACTTGGTCAGTTTCCCCTATGGTATGCCCCAGGGCTACACTCACGTCCTGCTGTGAGGCCCTCGGGGAGAAGACCTTGTCCAGCTCGAAGGATACAGGCTTTCCCTTATGCAGCAGGTGGATGATGGAGTCATCGTCGGGATCGAAGGTCACAGCATTGGCCGCCTCAGGCCCTTCCCCATCCTCTTTGGTTACTGGCCGGACACGGGCAATCACTCGGATGTTCCCTGGAGGAGAGATGTGCTCAGGCTAGATTAAGACAGACTGTCTCCACTTTGGTGTCCACTGGTGTCCTAAGGAGACAAGTGGCCCAGGAGATCTCTGCCTTCTAAGCAAGGCTTCCCAGGGTAAGGTGGCCCACAAAGCTGTTATCAGTCTCTCACACTATAGTATGAATTTACTTATCAATTTCTTGCTGAGCAGACCAGCTCAGGGTGGGAGCTTCACCTTGGGGACAGGGAGGACAGATCAACTGTGGGGCTCAGGCACTGTACCCAATCTGGGTAGGATGCCAGAAGGCACACTGGACTACAGTTTCTTCATCTACAAAATGAGGGGTGTGGGCTCCAGTGGGCCACGGGACCTGTTCTATCATTCTCAGACGGCACTCACTGTAAATGCCAACCAGGCAAGGGCTTGGGAACCAGTTGGGCAAACAAGACAAGTACAAGTGGACGACTGGCAGGTATCTAATGGGTACAGACCACACAGAGGCCACAAGGGAGTTGGGCTCTGATTACGCCAGCCCATCGCCTTAAGCCTTCAGTGGGATCGCAGTGCTGTGAATGAGAACTACCCACCACAGCTGACACAGTCCCACCTCCCTCCTCATCCAGGTGCACGTCTCAGCTCTAGCTTCACCTCTGGGAGGCCCTCTCATACCTCCTCTGTCAGACATTCCTTCCAGAGGTCCTAAGGTCCCCCCTCCACCCTAGCAGCAGGGGCAGTGTTAGGGTCCTCTGGGTGATCAATGATCGGTGTCTGTTCCCCAGCTACAGCGAGGGAAGGCATCTGTGGGCTCGCAGCCGACTCTCAGTGCCTGGAGCAGAACTGGTGCTCCCTGGACCCTTGTGCAGTGAAGGGTGGTGTCTCAAGTTTGACAGCCCTAGGTCAGAACAAGTGTCGTTCCAGCCACCCATCGCCCAGGCTTCAATACCCCCCGCCATGGCCATCCAGAGTCAAGGGCTGCACGCCATGGGGGCTGGGGCTGGGGCTTGAGAACCGGGCGGATCTGAGTCCAAATGCAAGCCGCACCATTTGCTAGCTATGTGGATCTGAGAAAGTTCCCCGGTTTCTCCGTGCCTCAGTTTCCTCTACAAATAGGGAAATGTAACAGCACCTCATTGACAGGGCATAGCTCCCAAGAAGCAGTGCCAAGGGACAGGGCAGGTGCAGGACACTGCTGAACCAGGCACACGGGCCCCAGTGCCCAGTAAGCACCTTTCAGCCGCACGAGCTCATTGTGGCATTTCTTGCGCAGCTGCAGCTCCCGGCGGTACTTGCGCAGCAGCTCCTGGTTGTTGCTGTTGACCTCCTCGATGGCCTGGCCGATCTGGTGGGGGGGGGGGGCAATCTCTGTCAAGGGGTAGGCCTGACCGGCTTTGTTCGCCTGGCCGCCTGCCCAGCGGAGTGCTTGGGAACTGTCTCCCCTACTTGGCATATGGTGGCACACATTGGTTTTCCCAGTAACCTCCCTGAGTAGGCCCTGTTACCATCCTCATTATGCAGATGACAAACAGGTCCAAGAGAAGCTAAGCCAAGGTCACCTGGCTAATAAGCAAAGAGCCAGGACGTGACCCTTGCTGCACAGCCCTGAGCACTTAAATACAATGTGATTCCCCTGGACCTGAATTCCAGCTCTAGCCCTGAGGAGGTGGGGAAACTGAGGAACCAGCAACCAGCTCAATCTCTCTGAGCCTCAATTTTCTCACCTGGGAAATGTGGTAACACCATCTAACTGGAGGATCTGTAGGAGCTGTTCTCCAAGTTAAAGGTCACAGAGGGTAAAAAAAGAAGCTAGTATGTTTGCTTTTGTTGGGTAAACGTGAAGCGTGCACACACGTACATCTACATGGCAGGGTTAACCATGCTCAGAACGCTGCTGGGGACAGACTGCCCACCTTGGGGTGGGATGCAGGGGCACGAGTGGTCTTTCCTTTTCATCTGACACCTTTCTGAGTGTTTGAATTTTTCACCATATCCGTGTATTTACTGACATTTTTCTAAAGGAGAAAAACTTGTTTTTTTATGCCAGAACACCAGTGTCTCTACGCTGCAGAACTGTTGTACAAACTCGAAGAGCCAATAGCTGTAAAAGGCTCAGCACGTAAGAGGCTCTTAGGAGATGCTGGTTATTCTCACACTGAACGTGATTAAAAAGTTAAACGAATCCCAATACAGATTTAAAAACACACACCCCATGTTTGAGATAGGAGAATAAAATACAACATGTTCGGGAAATAAAGATATATATGACATGTTTGTTTGTTTTACCCATTGCTGTCGAGTTAATCCAACTCATAGCAACCCTAGAGGACAGAGCAGAACTGTCCTATAGGGTTTCCAAGGCTGTAGATCTTTACAGAAGCAAACTGCCTCATCTTTCTCCTGCAGAGCGGCTCATGGGTTTGAACTGCCAACCTTTCAATTAGCAGCCAAGCACGTAACCACTGAGCCACCAGGACTCCTTTATTTGGTTTAAAGCTCCTCTAGGGAGCTCTGGTAGCATAGTGCCTAAGGTACTAGACTGCTAACCAGAGGGCTGGTGGTTCAAACCCACCAGCCACTCCTCGAAAGGAAGATGGGGCAATCTACTTCCGTGGTGATACTGCCTCGGAAACCCAAGGAGAGGTCGCTATGAGTCGGGCCGACTTGACGGCACATAACAACAAGAAGACAAATACCCATCTGCCTGCAGGGTCTGAGGGTAGCAGTGTGGGGGGGGGAGGGGCCTGGCGAGCTTTGACTGGGCTTTGGACGGTGCCTTGGGTGGGTGCTGTGTCTGCCCAAGGGCTCTCCAGCCCCATCTACCCTGCACTCACCTCAGCCTTGACGCTCTTGAGGGCCTCCTGCAGCAGCAGGGGGAAGCCGCGCACCTGCCGCTTGAGCCCATTGTAGTCATTGGTGAGGGTCCGCAGTGCCGGCTGCAGCGTCAGCAGGTTGGTCCGGACACCTACAGGGACATGAGGGGTGTGTGACGGGCAGGGTGAGAGGCTGTGGCGTGGGGCAGACCAGGGTCAGGTGGCCCTGGGTGGGGCAGAGCAGGGCACAGTGGCCAACTCACCTGCCAAGTTCTCATGCACGGCCTTCATCTCCAACTGGGCCCTGGCAAAGGCCTCCTCGATGGCCCGGTTCTTGTCCTCCTCCAAGGACTGCATTTCCTCCAGCATCTGCCCGTGTGCCCGCTCCAGCTCTGACTCGTACATGGCAATCTGATGGCCAGGAGAAGGCTGAGTGCCGTGGGTGGGGGGCACCGATAGAGAAGCCCCGGCCCTCACCCCACACACCACAACACACAGCATTGTGGCTGAATGGCCACCTCTCTCCCCTCGGGGCTGTCAGCTCGGGGCATCCTCTACATCCCTGTACCATCCTGGCACCAACCCACCCCTGGCATTTATGGGGCTCAAGTCATGTGCTCCTGGAGCGCACCTGTGACAGTGACAGCAACAGCAGAAGCACCTATCGAGTGCACCCTGTGTGCTGAGCCCTTGTGGATTATCCCTGAGTTCCCATGACATGGGTTTTGTGATCAGACTCACAAAAGACGAGGAAACAGAGACTCAGGCAAAACCTGCCTCTGGTCACATGGCCAGTAGGAAGAGAAGGGACTGACTCTCCCCTGTGGACCCTTGAGGGCTTAACCACTGCACTGCACTGCACAATAGGCCACCTCTGGCTTTCTGGCCCCGTGTACAGCGCACCTTCTCCCACAGTCGCGCATACACTTCTGTGCTCATGCACACGCACGCACACAGACGTGGGCACACGTGCCCGCATGCACGCACACGGCCCGCGCACCTGCGCCCGGAGCTGGGTCGTCAGCTGATGCGAGCTCTGAAGCTGCTGCTCCATCTCCCTCAGCACCTGCCTCTGCATGGCCACCTGCTCCTGCAGGTGCTGGCTGCGGGCCTGGGACTCGCTGAGGGCCTGCCTGGTCTTGGGTGACTCCACCTCCACCGTCTTGATGACATACTGCAAGGGGAGGGAGAAAACGGGGGACCAAAGGGTATGAGCACCTGGGCCTCACCCCGGAGCCTGGAGGCGCCACTGCTCAGACAGGGACCCAAAGAAACGTCCCCCTAAGGGCCCCCAGGAAAAACCAGAGGAGCTGCAAGGGTCTCCTGGAATCTTCTTATCTCAATGAGTGCTCACTAGGAGCCTGGCCCCAGCCTGGGACAGAAGAGGCAAGAAGGGCAAAGCCAAGGGTAGCATCTGGGGGACGTGCTGCATCCATGCCTGGCACACAGTGGGCACTTCAAGCATCGGTTGCTGGGTACCCACAGTGTGCCCGACCCTGGGCAGTAAGAAAGGGCAAGACTGAGGAAGCACTGCTTCATCTCTGTCTTCCC